GACTATGGCTACCTCACAGCCGCGTATCGGGAGTCCATAGTCACGAGCGGTCTTGGCAATGATGCGAGCGTATTTGGACTGAGTTGCGTCGAGACCTGGTAGATTACCACTACTGCTGCCGCCACTGTTACTAGTACAGCATTGAATATGATTAGGGCCTGGACATAGATTGGCTGGATCAGAACTTCCACTACAGGTTGAAGTCGGCTGGCACGTGCCGCCAACACCTTTAGTATTCGTGCAAGTACGATAGGTACAGCACTATAATGACAACAGAAATATTAATGAAACGATGAACACTAATGTTAAATATCTATACTTGAATAGAGTTGTCACCCGGACAGAGATTGGCAGGATCCGATGATCCACCATTGGTTTTGCATTTGCTAGTACTGATACATTCTCCACGACGGCCGTTCCTAGCTGTACAGAATCCATATTGCGCAAAAGCTGCATTAGGAAGAAGACTAGCAAAGATCATAAGTAAAAGCATGCCAAACCGTTTCATTGTACTGATGTATGCAAACCACTTTGAATTGCGATAAAATCTGAAATAAATGAAAGAACAGGGTGGTAAATGAGTAACTCGAGAAATACATAAAATATTCCTGCAGAACTTGGTTTGATAGCAGTATAGAAGAATAGAAACAAAAAGAACCGACAGCGATTGTTGAAAACCTGTCAGTACTAATGATTGCTACGAATTGCTTGGTAAATGGTAAATTTTTCGTTATCAATTACCGAATAACCGATCAGTAGATAGTAACTGCTCGGTTCCTAGTTATCCAGTAATATAATCGTATCTTCTCTATTCATCTTCTTCAATGCACAAAAGCTAGAAACAAAAAAAAACCAAAAATGTGATAAGAAAGACGAATATGATGGGAATTATATATATCTGTGTTGATAACTGAAAAATTAAAAATATAAAACAAAAATAGATTGTGAAGCGAGAAGGGTGGGAATATTTGGATTTAAGTTTCCATCTGTTCGATCGAACGAAAAATAATAAAATAAAGATAACGCAATGTGAGATCTGGTCAAAAATATTGCAATACGTATTAAGTAGACATGGTTAGTTACCATTACCTGACGGATACGTTCACCATCAGATCTAGGAAAAATTATCCGGAGAGTATTCAAAAACTTTGGATGCCGTCGAATGGGTGGGCATCGGTGTTCTCAACGAGCTATTTTTCAATTGTCTTCTATGTCATCGCTTCTTTACTCTATCAGCAAGGATCTTTCGCCAACACAAGACTTGCACTGGTATCAAGTTTTTAGATTATGAGATAAGCAAAAGTTTATATTTCTACTATTTACAGAGTTAGTATACGGATCGTCTGATTGCTTATGCACAAAGTGAATTTTCGTTGTTTTGCAATCGATTGTTTTTTCTTCGTTCAGTCAATTTTGAGTAACATTGTTTTAGATCTTTTATTCTGAGATTACATGATATTAAACATGCCCAATCATAAATCATAAAATTACGAATGATCTTAGCTTGCTCTCGATTCTATGATAACGGAAAGTTATTTCTTCTTTTGTTCTGGTTTTTTAAGAATAAAATTGAACAAACAGGGTGTGGGGTGTGGGTGTGCATGAATACAATTGTAACTCACACCCACACCCACACCCTGTTCTCTCTCAACTTAATTTCATATAAACTGATAAGATAAAAGGACAAATTCTTTTGCAAAAATCTGTTCTTGTTTTATAATAAGAGTGACGATTGTGATATTAGAGTTTTTTTTGTTCTATTCTTCTAATAAATAAGAAGTGTAGACTTTTCGATAAGTCCGTCAGTAAGTGAGAATTTCTATCTCACATGAGAATGGTTATCATTGTATTGAAGAAAGATAATTAGTCAATAATTTAATATCGTTTTATCTTTAGATAATAAAAATTCAACAATGGATTTTGCAGTTTCTAAATTTGAGTTTTACGATATACTTCAAACTGAATATGGCTTTGATGATATTATATCTGTTAATACTTTGCCAGGTGGCTATATTGAAGAGGAAACCTGGTTAGTTTGTCTCAAATTGAATAGAAAATATGTGGTAAAAATAATTGATTATCGATTTAATATTGATCATCTGAAAACTATTCTCAACTTTCAAAATTATCTTTATTCGAATCTAAATTATCCGTGTTCATTGATTGTTTCGACATTGAGCTCAAAACTTGTTGTTCAAATCGACAATGATCATTATCTTTTCATACAAACATTTCTCGATGGTCATGTACCATCTTTGATCGAACTTGACGAATCCTATTTAATGAAAATGGGCACTTTACTTGGACAATGGCGTCTAGCATCACGAACTTTTATGTCCATAATACCTTCTACAAATATAGAGAAACGAGAATTAACAGATCAATGGTGGATAGAACAGTTTGATCGTCTTTCTCTATGTAAACATCTCGAGGAAATCAATATCGACTATCTTCGTTTGATACTATTTGAATGTCGAGAGAGATTGAACGGAAAAATCGATCAATTAGAACAAGGTCTAATTCATAATGATTTTCAACCGAGTAATACACTTTGTACTAATGATGATCGTCAAGTCTACGTAATTGATTTTGGTGAAGCTTGCTATGCTCCTTTGATTGTTGACTTGGCTACAACTCTCTTTCTATTGCTTACTAATGGTATTGACGATGATAAAAGATTGAATATATTTCTTGTATCATATCAAAATCTAATTCGATTAGATCGACATGAAATTGAACTTCTCGATATTGTTGTTCGTCTCAAATTGACTACCAATTTCATTGGTGATTGTGCTAATGTTAAATCAAAAGAAGAATACGATCATTCATCATGGCTTCAATCATGTTCAAAATGGATTGATATTCTTCATCAAGAGAAACGCAATCTATTTCAAACAATGCTGTGTAATAAATGACTGATTATAACAGAACAGATTATCGAGTCTGCTTGGCAAAAATAGACTGAAATATTAGCAACGAAATTATGATCAAGTAGAGAATAATTAATGTTACAGCATTCTGTGGTCAATCGAAATTCTCGATAACTATCGTTATTTTTATCATTTACTTTATTTTTTTTTTGCTTGTACGTTAACGTATATGATTTTGACATTGATGAACTTTTCGTCAAGTTATTTGACTCTTCTTTAAAATTGATTAATGATAACATAAATAGTAAGCTAAAAAGTATGACAACGCACAAAGTAGTATCGGTTGTCTATTCAGTCACATCCAAAATCTTTATCATCTATATTGTCTCGAAAGAGAGACTATTAATATGCGTAAAGAGTAGTTGTATATGGCGACTACTATATGCGTATCTATGTAAAATGATCAATTGATGACATACATGTCTTTGATCATTTGTAATTTCACATAAAGAAATGCATGGTCAGCTATCACATTAATGTTTCAACCTAGGTGCAGTTCTTTTTCCATTAAGCTGTTCTTAAGTTTCATTCAGTTTCTATTTAGAATAAGTTTTCCGTATTTTAACCCTTTCAATACGGCATGTCATCTCGTAGATGACATGCATATCGTAATATAGAAATTTTGCGTTCTGTCGTCTTCCTACATGATACATATCATATGTGTGTTCAAAGAAGCGCATGTATTCTTCGCTGTGAAAATTTTTTTTTCGCACTGAACTAGCGTAGCTAGAATTCGTGTGCAGCTGATTATCTAAAGGAGAACGCAAGGGAGAGAGAAATCTAGATTTTCTTCAACTTTGTATAGAATGAGAGAAAATGTCAGTATTGAAAGGGTTAATCATTGTCTTCATATATCTATGTATACCTGAGCAAGCATAAAAACACTATTTTTTCTTTTCGTTTCTGTTTTCCTTGTATCTAAATTATTTGATTGGTTAATTTCTATTGGTTGATGATAATCTTTGTCCCTAAACAAAGAACACTTATGGAAAATGAAGAAAAGAACGTAAATTATATTCATTTATAATAACATCACTCGTCTCTTCCAGAACGACACAGAACATTTTACATTATATACGAAAAGGTAATGATGAAAAAACGATTCTCTAATTTTGAGTAAACTTAGTTGAGAATTTTTGTTTCCAATAAATTATTTATTAGTATAATCCATTTCTTCTCTTATATCTCTCTGTTTTAAATAGGCGAGACTTGAAATTTATTCTTAACAAAATGATGAAACCTATTTCATACACTGTATCAATGAGTTGAGAATCTAGAATGCTTAATAAATAGCTTTGTCATCCATTCATTAATGAAATATATTATTGAGACGTTCTCTTTTTTTAGCCAGTTACTATAGTCCATTGTCTGAATTAAATTGAAAAAGCTTCGTACATCATTTGTTTATGATCAGAATATGCTGTACTTTATGATTTAAAATATTTTCTAGAATTGTCCTCGTATCTATCTAACACAATCGCGTAATTTTTTTTTTCGTCATATTCTGGATTCTTAATTCTGAAATAGACTCTGTTGTTTCATTTAACGATTTATAGATTCCAAGTAAAACAAAATCATATTAGTTTTCGTTTCTATAGCAGCATTTAAGAAGGGAGAGATCCACATTCTTTCTGAGAATGTCTTCTAAATCGGAGTATGATTGTTTGCATAAAAGATATGTAGAGAATATACCGAACCAGATATGCAGCAAGGACAGAAATAAAAACCTAGGTAGAAATTGCAACGGAAAATGGATTTCGGATAAGGCATTAAAATTTCCTGTCTGAGAGTGTATGTGCAGATTTGTTAAATAAAAAAAAGGGGCAAAACTCCTAAGAGGTAATTTTTTTTTGTCTTCTAGATATGCCTGAAGTAGGACTGTGTGCTGATGAGGCATGTACCAATGAAAAGAAGCAACTGTACGAATGTCACTGTTGTATCCGTTTCATCTGTCTACATCATTTGATCGAACATGATGAAAAAGCAACATTAAACAAACAACGATTAGAAATATATGCCGTTCAATTGACATCTGTTTTATCTACACTCGAAATGATAATCGAGGAAAATATGCGTATAATTGAACAACATAAGATACTATTAGAAAAAGCAAAGGTTGCACTTACTATTTCGTCATCGGCTGATGAAATGCAGAGTATTCTCGATCAAGTATATACAACTATTGCAGCAAATCAAAAGAGTAAAATTTCTGAACGAAAACTTCATGTCGAACTCTCTCTTTTGTAGATGAAGTGGTAGTTAAAGTAGAATCATCACTGGCAGAAAACTATTCAATAGTTGGTCAGTTCGATTTCATTTCAGACTATGGATCAACTTCGATCTTTCTTTTTTTTGTTTTTCCAGCTACGAATGATTCATGTCAATATTCATCAATTGATTCAACGCTTATTCACAATGAACCAACGTCTGAAAATGGTGAAAGAGAATTTTTAGCTGAATATCATTGAAGTTCGATTTGAACATTTAGATGAGTCGGTACTTTGCAATGCTCAACAAGAATTACAGTAGTCATTATTTTTTTTTCTTTTTGTTCATTTCGATGTTTGAATCGTTTAGATCATCCAATCTCGACGAGTCATGTCAAACAAGTAAGTCTCAATCCAAACATAAGATTTTCTTATCTAACTCTTGAAGTTAACCATAATTCAATGGATATCGATGATAACTCCACACAAATGTATCGTTTCAAGTAAGTTTTCTGCTGAATCATTATAATATTTTAAAAATATTTTATTTTAGTCGACCAGTAGATAATACAAAGGTAAAGCAAAATGATGATAGACCATCTTGATAATCGTGAATTATAAACAGTCATAGTCTAAAGAAAAAAAAAATTATTTAGGATGAAGCCAACGATGAAATAAAACAAATACCAATCTCGACAATAATCCATTATTGTGGACTATGTCCATTGACGTTTGATGGTGCATTTGGTCTCACCAAAACAAAGCTTTTAACTCGTCTATGCAGCAGTCAAATAGTTCGTCAAAGAATCTTATATCCTCATTTTATACATGTCCATTCTATGGGAGCCAATTATGCTAAACGTTTAGTCAAGGCTATCATACAAGGTCAAGATCCAAAGACGGCAAAACTGTTTAGTGATGATGAAGACATTTTCAACAAAAAATGATAAATTAGTATGCTCGTACAACGAACCGATTCCGATATCATCCGAAGCAAATATCAAACACATCGTGTTACTTTCGGTCGATGAGTCTCAAATACTTCATTTCACATCTCATAACAGTACATCCGACGATTAAAAACATAGTTGATGGTTACAAATTAGATCCAACAACGATTGTATTCGACAAGGACGAGAATACTATGCAAGAAGACTATCTCAAAAGAGAATGAATTATATATCTCAGATAACCAAAGATCTTTCCTTTATACTTGTTATTGTAATGTCTCCAATTTTTTTTAAAAATATATCTCATGTGTGTAAATGATATTAAATCCTAAAATTGATTAATTTGACCAATGCGATGATCGATCAAATTAAGAAACATAGTAGAAATTTATCATTATTAATTAATCATATTCAATCCGGTTGATTATGTTTAATTCTAATAGAGATCTAATGTGAGTGATCGATGATGAAGAGAGAAAAGAATTGATGTGCATTATTGATCAAATTCATTTCTTTTTCGACCTTTCTAGGCTATTACGTTAGTTTTTTTTTCTTGCTTTTCATTTGACCAAATATCTTCAAGCGATGAGAAATTTCACAGAAAATTTTCCAGCTTGTAGAAGTAACCAAATAAGCAGCAGATCAATAACCGGCTGAAGAGAAAGTGAACCCGAGCAGTATTCATGACTATAGTATAATTTAGAAATTTTTATTTTGACAAAAATAATACAATATCGTATGAAAAAAAAAAGAATAAAAGAGCAACTAAATGATTCATTTTTAAAATAAATCATTTGGTTATTCTTTTTTTTCATTTGATATTGTTAATTATCCATTTATTTTTTGTTCTAAAAATAACACAAGTATTATCACATCCAAATGAGTAGTTGATGTATCTTGTCGTTAAAAAACAGCTTCAAATTGTTGCTCACAAAGAATTCTCTCAGCAAACATATTACCATCGATTCACTGGAACACGGTGATACAACTTCATACTTTTGTTGGCATGTGTGGATGGGTATAGTTTCTGAATTCGTCAGCCACTGACGAGTGCTTTAATATATCAATAAATTTTTGCGTTGCTGAACTTAAGAATGAATGCTAATTATTTTTTTTTAAACGATTTTGTAAACATTTATTGAAGAAATTTTGAACAAAGGAAAACTTGAAAAACAATATGGAATTTGTTCTATAACCATTATTATTTTTCGTAAACAAAGTTTTGAGTTTCGTAAAAGAATCCAACACTAGGTGTCTTTCGCTAGTTCTTTTTGTATTAACTAACAATTGAAGATCATGCACCGACAAATTAAGAAGATTGTTCATAGTCGAATCAAATGAATGCTCTCGCTCACAGACCAACTAGTTTAAAACATGAGCTGCCAATAGCGTACACAGATCGAGATGTTTAAATTTTAAGATATTTACAGTTTGTCATGTCCTCATAGTACGAAATTTCATCAACCTTTAATTTTCTTTTTCTATTATGGTAGGATGGAACACAACTATTTACATAAGGAGAAGTAATATTACACACATTCAAGAGCAATTTGATAGCAATTAAGATTTTGTTGTTGATTACTCTTATAATTCAAAAAATGTTATCTTAGACTTCGTAGAATTTGTTTTTTAATATGCATGATATTGTTTTTTTCTTATGTAAATGGTCCTGTTCCATCCAACCATGACCAAAAAAAAAACGAACCGTTGATGAAATTTAGTCGTGTGTACACATAACAAACTGTAAACTTCTCTGAAACTCGAATACCTCGGTGTGTGTACTCTATTGGCAGCTCATATTTTTAATTAGTTGGTTTGACAGTGAGAGCATTCATTTAATCTAACTACGATCTATCTTCTTACCCTACAGTATACGATCTTTTACTCTAAGCGATGTAATGTTGATATTGTCTTTCTTTACTATGAAATACTTTTGGAAACAAAGTATGAATCGATAAACAAAAAAAAAAGTAAAGTCTTTTGTGCAAGTATGTCAACATGATAGTCCTTGGTTTGCAAAAAGTTACTCTTTCTGATTAATGTCCGATTTCGGAAAAAAATTCTGATTTTAAAAACAAGAATTTCTAATTTTAAGTTTTTCATCTAGCAACCTTGGAACAAGCAAAAATTTCATGTGTGATTCAGATAAAAGAAAAATAAATAGAGTTACTATCTAATTCAAAAATAAATAAACAATTCTGGAAAAGTAAAATTTCAACAGGCAATGAAATGGGCAATTATCCATTTGGCCCTCCCTTGGCTACGCCGCTGTCTTAGTCGCCATTCAATTAAGACTACTTTGAATAATTGACTAACCATTTCTATTCTGGTCATTTCGACTCATGGGAATGTTTTTGTTAAGTGTTTTTTATTATCAAAGGTCAAAGAAAAAGAATACATATATATAATTACAATAACACGACAAAAGAAAATAAATGAAACAGTTGGTACTTAGGTAAATCATGTTTTTTTTTCTCTCTGGTTTTTAGCAATACATTCTGTCGACATTACAAACCTCAGAAGAAATCAATATTGTTTTGCTTTTCTAAATGCGCAGTTATCGAAAACTGATTGTTGTTCTCTCTGTCGCCAAATATTGATTCTCATTTCTTTCAAACAAAACAGAATAAAAAAGTTCAGATCGATCAAATCAAAATATTTTGAAAATTACTGCACTGTTCTTTCATTTCTAATGGTTATGTCAACAAAATTTTTCTACTTTTTATTTTACTGTTTCGTTCTTTGTTCGCGTTTGTATATAGATACGGTTCTTTCCAATCGGTATGCATTTCAATTTATCATGGGCAATCGATTTGTTGCTAGAAATGCCAATTCGGCAGCGTTGACTGACGAAGGTTTGTTCATCGATCAAATATTTTTCATTATGGATTGATCTATTGATTGACTTGTTGTGATTCTAGAAATTGCTGAATTGCAAAAGATTTCCAATCTTAGTGCTGATAGTAAGCAGAAAGAAAATTTGTTTTCTATTCATGTAACATTGTTTGTTCTTTTGTAGATGTCAAGAATAATTACAAGGTAATCATAGATTATGTGTGATTTGAACTATCATCTTATATTTTTGTTCGAATGTGCTTTAGGCCTTCTTGGAAGATAACCCATTAGGTAGAATGGACAAAAAACGATTCCTTTATTGGTGCGATCTATTAAAGCCTGATTTCGATATTAAAGATGAAGTGGCTTGCGAGTATGTTTAGATGCTCGTCCGATGATTTGAGTCTTTCTTTCTATATATTTAGAAATGCATTTGCTGCATTCGATAAAAATAAAGATGGAACAATTGACTTCAAAGAATTTACTACGGCATTGGCTTTCCTTGGACCAAACACTGTAGAGGCACATGTCGATCTATTTTTTCAAATGTTAGTTCGATTGAGTGCTGTAGTTTGAGGACAATCTAATATTTCCATTTTATTGAATAGGTATGATATATCCGACGATGGCTGTTTGGATTATCAGGAACTAATAGATGCCTTCGAATCTATTGTAAGTTAATCTGAATGTTTCTTTCGAGTAGAATTCAATGAGTGCATGAATAATTATAATTGATTATTCTAGATCTATCTATTGGCTTTGAGAAAAAAAACAGCTCCCAAAAGTGCGAAACAGATGGCTTCAGAAGTATTTGCTATGTTTGGTCTCAATGACGACGCAAAAATAAGCAAGGAACAATTTATCGAAAGGTAGACGGAATAATTTCTTTTCTTTTTCATATGATTTTGTTTATTTCAGATGCAGAAAAAGTCCTACTCTTCGTGAGATGTGCTTCATTGAAACATGAACAATATTGACAATGAATAATCATTTTTATGTACTCCTTGTATTTTTTTATTTACCTAAACTTAAGTGTTTGAATCAAAGATAATAAATTCAATTTTCAGTAGGGTCTAAAGATATGTAAAGTCGCTTTCGATTAATCTCGATTTTGACGAACATCTGTTTCGTATTTTTGACCAATCAGTGATTTTTGATGTATTATAAAAACTAGTCTAAAACTACAACAGAGTTGATTCACTAATTGAATTTCAATCGACAGATGTTAATTAGAAATATTTGTATTTATCAAAGATGAACATGTTCAGAGTGAATGGTAAAAAGTTTCTTCTGCAGAATTGTTTGCGACCTTTAGGGTAGTTTCGGATGGGAAATTGATCATAAAAAATACTATAGAATAAAAACATTGAATCTTACTTAATTGTCATATGATGGGTATGGAAGTAAATACATTTTTGTTAGTTTTCGTTCGAAACAATTCTTTTAATTTTTATATGTCAATAAAAAGATGATATCATAGTCTCTATCGATACTTGAAATTTAAACGAGAGTTGATGAAATAATTATTATCGTGTCGCAGAAAGTTAGATGGATACTTCATCAATGACAAGAATGATCAAAGCTTACATTTAAATAAAAGCATGTTTTAAGGCGAAAATGGGACTAGGAGAAGTAACGTTTTATTATCTCATTCAACCAAACGGTGTGGGTGTGAGTTCTAATCCTCCCTTCACTCATACTCACACTCACACCCCACACCCACACCCACTCACACTCACACCCCACACTCACATCCCACACCCACTCACACCCCACACTCACATCCCACACCCACACCCATTCACACCCCACACTCACATCCCACACCCACTCACACTGACGCCCACACTCACTCACACTCCACCCACACCCGCCACCCCGTACCGACCCACAGCCACACCCCACCCACATACCCACACCCATACCCACGCGCACACCCAGACCCACACCATACAGGCACAGTCTGATCCCACACCCACGCTCTAAACCTATACACTCACTTTGCACCTACATACTCACACCCGCATTAACCTCCACACCCAACCACCGAGCATCCATACTCATAGCCATATCCTCACCCCTCATCCAGACACCCACGCCCTATAGTTATAGCGATTTCAACTATACTGGCATGGAGTCTCATAAAATGACTTGCATTTGAATTCTCTTAGCACAAGGGTAAATAATATTATCTTATCAAGGATGAAACTCTAAGACAAAGGTGAATTTTTTCGCAATTGTAGTTGAGCCTTGCGATGATGGTTGACTGGAATAGGAGCGTGAGTTTAAAATATTGATATGGTCATAGATGGGCTCTTCACCCTTATCCATTCAACTATACCCTCTAGAGCCAACGCTAGTTTGTCCTGTTAGTACAAAATAGCGTTGAATATTGCGGCATCACCGTAACTCTGATAGCAGCATACGAAATAAAGTTCTTATCATATTCATTTAACTTCATTCGTGCTGCATGTTTTGTCTTTATTTGATTTTTATATTTATTTAGCGACTATCGCAAGTTTTAGAAAGATGTCCGAAACTCTAGCATTAATATCAAGAACACTTTCGTCATCATCAAACGAAGGTGAGCTAAAAGACAGTGCAACTACAACAAACAGTTCAAATTCAAAAAAATTTGAGGGTGATGGGCTTCCTTTTAAGTGCAAACTGATTGGTACGGAATATTTATCAGTTGATCGTGACGAAAAAGTTTGTCTCGATTCAATGTTTAAATTAAAAGCTGTTGTAAAGACACGTGGTGAACATAAACAAAGAGTTCAATTAAATTTAACTATGAGTGCTCTTAAAGTTATTGATGAAGCCACCGAAGTATTTAAAAAACAAAACTTTTTTTTTCTATTTAAAATTATATTTTTTAACATATTAGGCACAAATAGCTATTCAGGAAATTGAGCGTATCTCATTTGTTGTTATTGATCCACGTGATACACGTGCATTCGGATATATCTATAACACATCTGATGGTTGTCATCAATTTTGGGCTATTAAAACTGAACGAGCAGCTGCTACAACTGTATTTGCACTTAAAGAACTGTTTGAATTGGCTTTTGAACAATATATAAATTCGAACAAAGCGAAAGAAGCTACTAAAGAAACAAGAGTACCATCTTCATCAGTATCAACTGTGAAACAGGTTGCTGCAATAGAAGAAGTAAAAATTTCGTAATTTTTATTTATTAAACTATTCTTTAAACATTTAAGGCACCACCACAAGGTGCTCTTGTTTTTTCACCACCATCACCACAAACTGTTCCTTTTTTCTACTGCGTCACGAGATACTCTTGTTTCTCCATTACCATCACTATTGCTGGCGCAGTCATTGACTTTGACATCTGCTCCTGTCATCGAAGCAGTCAGTGTAATAATTTTATCATTTCAACTTTTCAAAAATTCTTTTGTTTTCGCCATCTCTTCTTGGTGATGATATTTCGAGTGGATATACGTGTGTGGGTGCTAGTGTAGCTGTTAGGTAAGAAAATGAAAGCCAGCACACCCACATATACACCTATATTCACATCTACATTCATATTCGCCCCACACAGATGCATACTACCTAGACAGACAAGAATTCTAGAAAACGCGTTTAAACGCCATAATAGTTGTTCTCATTGGGTGTTGAAACGCTGTGATAAGGTGATCATAAAGATGGTTAAAAAGAGTAAGTTTTAAGCGTATGTACCTACATATTTTGCATTTTCGTTGGTTTTTATCTATTTACACGCACAGAGTGTGCATTGTATGGACGTTTTCAGGCCCACTACTGTCCACACGCGTGCAAAAGCTCAAAAGATCAACTTTTTAAGTGTTTACGCGCATATTCGAGATTTTTTTTCTCGTTCGAGGATTAGTGAAAATGTCGTGAAAAAAGTTGGATGTCGGAAAGTTGATTGTTTTCACAACTTTTTTCAACCGTTTTTGCTGGTATTCCGGATCGCAATTAGCATCCAATAGCATTCAATTTTTTCTGCGTTTACACGTGTTTTCAGAAATTTTTGTCTGCCTTAGCAACGCTCGCCACACATCCACATCTGTGCTCCATACTCTCAATAGTCGTCTGTCTAAGGCTTAAATGCGAACACTCTTTTCTATTGTTTCGATCTGTATTTTAAGATCATCTGGCAAAATAAGTAACAGGCCACATTCCATCCGAAAATGTATTGAGTAGTTTTATTAATGAATAGGAAGCTCTACAGTTCTATGACAACAGAACATCTTATATAATCTTTACATTTTAGAATATTAGTTCTATTATCCTATTACACTACCAGGCACATAGTCCAAAAGAGGAACTCTACTACTCTGTAAGATTCTTTTCTTTTTCATTGACTATCGTTGTTTGGTTGGCGCTTCTGCTGTCCGGAATAATAGCAATAATGTACTGTCATTTACTTTAAAAATATGTTCTGATCAAGAGAAAGCTAACATTATGCCACTTAACATGAGTGCCTTGTGATGTAATCAAAAATATTTCAGATGATGCTCTCTATTATAGAAATCAATTAAGGATACGAATACTCACCAATCGATAAATGTTCGTAAAGGCGATTTGACAACGGAGCAAGTATGTTCATGTTTTCAAAATCTTCGAAATTGACTGTTGTTTAATCTTTTTAGACCGATGTTATTGTCGTATGTTCTTCATCACAGTATTTGCTCGAAAATATTTTCAAAGTCGGTGGAGATGCCGTAATGACATCGTACAATAATGAATCAAAACTAAACTCATCAACAGTTACAGCTGTTGTAGCTGGTGGGAGACTCTTGTCGAAAAAAGTTTACTTCCTTTCATGGCGTCCGAATACTAACGAAACTTTACTTTGTGAATCATTGAAAAAATTTGTCTCAAATGCGATTGAAAAAGCAACAACTGAAAATTATCAAAGTATTGCATTTCCAGCTATTGGCTGTGGCCGGTTTGACTGTTCGATCAGTCTTGTTGCTAAAACTTTGGTTGAGGAAGCACATCGACTAGTAGCCACGAATGCAATTTCCGTTTCATTTATAATACAACCGGACAAAGAAAATATTTTCCACGAGTTTCAAAAACAAATCGATTCACTAGAACAAGTACAACAAGTTTCAGAAATATCAACAGTGTCTATGTCGATTGGAAAAGGAATGGTTGTAGTTGAAAAGGGGAACATAATATCACAAAAGGTATGAAGTGAAGAATAGCATGCAAGATAGACAATATTTTTTTTATTGCGTTACTGTTATAGGTTGATGCTATTGTTGTAAGTTCATCTTCGGAAATCTTAAAACAGGTTATAGTCAAAGCAGCTGGCCTTGAAGTTAAAGCTGCGTATGAAAGCGAATATAAGCATAATCCGAATTCAATCCTGATTTCAACCATATCTGGTCAGTTATGTTGTAAGCGAATTTTTTTTCTTAAATGGCAACCAAATGCGAATGATTCTATACTTCGACAATCGGTCGTCGATTTCATATGGAATGTTATCCAACATGTTGTTGCGTACAATTATGAATCGGTTGCATTTCCAGCTATAGGATGTGGAAAACATGGTTGTTCCATAGATATTGTAGTCAAAACGATGGTCAAGGAAATTAAAAAACATCTTGAAATGAGAAATTTATCGCTGCAAGTCAAGTTTGTGATTCAGCCTGAACAACAAAACGTTTATGATGAGTTTTGCAAGCAAGTTCTGATATCAGATGAAGGTAGAGCTTAAATATTTGTTTTGTAACAACATTTGATTTCATTTACTTAACCCTTTGATGTCTGGTGCGGTATATATACTATTTCGAGTATTTCTCAAAATTCGAAGATGATATACATACCAAATCAATCAGAAGTGAGTGGAAATGACGAGCAAGCCAAACGTTTTGAGACAAAATGTTTGCTCACTATTGGCCTACTCGAAAGTATTTCAGACTACTCTAAACCTATGAATTAGAACCAGAATTTTGTGCTCTTTCTGAATATGGATTGAGAAATTTTGTGTCAGCTTTTGTTCGAAAGTAGTGAGGGAATCTTTGAAAGGTCTAAAAAAATTAGTTTGAACGAGAAATTCTTTCGCGATTTTTTATATTTTAACTAATGCTATTCGAAACTGAAAGTTGGAACCCTTATTATTCTATCGACTGGTAGACCAAAATGTGCCCTACAACATGTACAATTTGAGTTTTTTTTGATCGTTAGTCATGACACCTCAATTTGAGTTTTTCCTGCATTCTCATTTTCGAGAAATCGACTTTGTGACCAGAAGCAGGTATGTTTAGATTTTTGAAAAAGGAAATTACCGAAATTTTCATAAACTCGATAATCACATAGCAGTGCAAGCCAAGACTTTTTAGAAATATTGGAAATTTTGGAAGCTACAAAATTTTGAAAAGTACCTAACAGTTTGGAACACAAATGCTGGAATTTCCGAAACTTACGAAACTTACGAAATTTCCATTTTTGGAAGTCTAAACACTGCCGGCCAAACATACAAGATATTAGCGTGAGGAATGCGATGTTGGGTTATGCATGATTGATTGTTTCAAAGCTTATCATACCCTAAAACACTTTTGCTAATGATTTTTGATTAAATAAACATTTATTCTCAAATTTGTAAAAAAAACTTTCTTTATTCGAAAAAATCTCGGCACCCATGGGTTAGTACGCGAACTAGAATAAAAGGAGTTTTGAAATAGACTTTAGACACATAACGGGATGATTTCAGTTATTTCCAACACGATTGATTGGATCCGATCGTGAAAACTTAGCTATGAGATAGAAACTGGTGAAAAAGCTGTCAGCGCAATCCCTTGCGGGATTAAAAATGTGAAACACGATGCAGCGTTTTATATTGTAAATGAAGGAATTTGAATTTTCTCTGTCACGGTCCGTGATGGTCTTTGGAGTCCCTCTATCACGGTCTGTGTCGAGTATTGGATTTCTCTGTCACGGTCTGTGATGGATACTGGGTTTCTGTCACGGTCTGTGATGGGCACTGGGTTTCTGTCAAGGTCTGTGATAGGTATGGATTTTCTCTGTCCCGATCTGTGATGGTCTTTGGAGCCCCTCTGTCACGGTCTGTGATGGGTACTGGGTTTCTCTGTTACGGTCTGTGATGGGTACTGGGTTTCTCTGTCACGGTCTGTGATGGGTACTAGATTTTTGTGTCACGGTCTGTGATGGTCTTTGGAGCCCCTCTATCACGGTCTGTGATGGTCTTTGCAGCCCCTCTGTCACGGTCTGTGATGGTCTTTGCAGCCCCTCTGTCACGGTCTGTGATGGTCTTTGGAGCCCCTCTGTCACGGTCTGTGATGGGTATTTGGTTCCTCTGTCACGGTCTGTGATGGGTATTTGGTTCCTCTGTCACGGTCTGTGATGGGTATTTGGTTCCTCTGTCACGGTCTGTGATGGGTATGAAATTTCTCTGTCACGGTCTGTGGGGGGGAGGGGGGGGGGTGGGTGCAAATTTCTGCCCCTAAACACTTCAACACTCCTTTCAGATCGTGTTTCACAAAATGACTCAGCTGATATGATCGGACGTTTACATGCAAACGAACCTGTTTCTATGAGGGCTAAGCATAGTGCTGAATGCCTTTTCCTGTTGATATGAGTGTTTGTAGCGAAATTGATTCGAGTAATCAAATCTTTTCGCAGTTCATGGAAAATCCGTTGAACATAAACTACCAGCGACATGGAAGCAATCAACAGATAATCGACTAAGGTTTATAGTATCAAACAATACAGATGAATATAACTCTATTCTGACCAATTTCGATCAAACAATGAAAGGAAAATATACTCAAATAATACAAGTCGAACGCATTCAAAATGAACGATGGTTTACGCAATACTTAGCTCACAGTCAAGATTTCAAAAAAAGGCTCAACACCGATACTGAAAAGTGTTTATATCACGGCTGCCCTCAAGAAGCAACAAATTTAATTATTGAGGATTGCTTTAATAGAAGTTTCGCAGGCGTGAACGGCAAGTTTTATCTTTTGTGCTATAAGCTTTTTCTCGAATGTATTCGTATACAGGAACGGTATATGGTGTTGGTGTTTATTTTTCGTCAAATGCAGCTTATAGTCACGACTACGCAAAACCAAATTCCAATGGAGAACGGTGCATGTTCGTCTCACGCGTTTTGATTGGGAAAACGACGAAGGGTAATAGTTCGATGAAAACACGACCTTTGGGGTTCGATTCAACAACCGATGGCAATCATATTTTTGTCACCTATCATGATGCACAAGCCGTCGCTGAATATTTAATTACATATAAATAGAAGGCAACAATTATTGTTAACTTTGGAAAAAAAAAACTATTGGGTATGGATGTGGATGTGCGGGTGTGGTGGGTGCGAGGGTGTGGGTGTGGGTGTGGGATGTGCGTGTAGATTTAGGTGGGAGTGTTGGTGTGGATGGTGATATGAGTATCCGTGTGGGTGCCCTTAGTGAGGAGACCTATACTCACACCCACACGCACACTGTGCTTGTCTGTCATATAACAGTACTTTCAAAGAAGATGTTCAAGAGTTCCTAACTTGTCAATAGTAGGCTTCGTCCTCGACCACTTTGAATTCTTTTCAGCTCAATATGAATCTTTATGTTCAAGGATCATAATTTGTTAGTGAGAAAAAAAGAAGAAACAAATGGTCTTTTTACAATATGTCAGAGAAAAACAAGGCGTACGTGTTGTTTTTTTATGTTCTATGAGTAAACACTGAATGGCAAGGAGTAAAAAAAGCGCATTCCTGTACTTCTCATATTTCTTTATGCTTTTTTGATTCGTGTTGCGAGCTCTCTCTGTAAACTGAATTAAATGGTCTGGGTATGAGTGTGGATGGATGTTTGGGTATCCATGAAAATAATACTCATACACTTTCATAAAAAAAAAACAAAGTCAAGATTTAATCTTTCAAGATCCTATACATTTGCATCAGAAGATCTAAAACTAAAACCGTTAATTTTACCTTTGAAAAATAGTTTTAGATGTCCATAGAAAAAATTTATTTCAACTCAAATAGCCGATAAAAAACCTATCATTATTCACTTTTGAATATATTCCAAGAGGCAGTGTGACAAGAATATAATGTTCATTTCGACTCTTTATTTCAAAAACTTTCAGGATAAATATATAATTACTTGAGACAAAACAGTGTGCTCTGTCTGATTTTTGAGAGACACAGTTGAATTCAATCAGATACATGTGTGTTTTTTTATGATAAAAATAGAAAAAACGATTAAATTATTGCGTTGAAAAACGTATATTTCATTGATTTACACAGATTCTGTTATGCGGAAAAATTCTTTCAATAAACGGACGATCGATATTATTTACTCTAAAAACTGATAAAACGACATCATTTATTATAATGCAAAATGTTGAGGCAATTTGCATAGAAATATTTTTCATCGAAATTCATATTACTTAGGGATATCCAAAAGTAGTGACCAGTGCTGCCACCTTTTGAAGTCCGAAAAGCAGAAAGACAGCAGAAAGTATGTTTGTAATATGAAACTAACGGGTAGCTCGTAATAAAAGAGGATCTCAGTAGTTTGTTAATATCTTAAGCGTTATCTTATCGCTCACACTTTATTTTTTTATTGAAAGATTCATCGTCTGATTCTGCAGAGATTGGTATATTTCGTTGTAAAAAATACTTATCTCTCTTTCGACATCATCGTGATTTAAAACAAGCATTACATACAACTTTTAAAATCTCTATTTTTTTCAATTTTTTCCGAAAACATCCAGTCCTTAGATTAATTTTATTATCATTGATGGTGCCATATTCTTTATCCAGCAATAAAATAAATTGTCTTTGGTACGTTGATCGAAATGAACCAATTTATCTCTTAAGTGGCGAACAAATTATACCCAAAGTAACAGGATTAGTTGAGAAAATGAACATTTTGGAAGAAAATTGAAAAAAAAAGGAAGACTTTGAAAGTTGTATGTAATGCTTATTTTAAATCATGATGATATTGAAAGAGAGATAAGTGTTTTTTACAGCGAAATATACAAATTTCTGCAGAATCAGACGATGAATCTTTCAATAAAAAAATAAAGCGTGAGCGATAAGATAACGCCTAAGATGTTAACAAAATACTGAGATCCTCTTTTATTACGAGCTATCCGTTAGTTTTAAATTTTAGTGTCAGTATACTAATCACTCGCATTGTATGGCATCACAAAATACAACTAATTAACAAATAGACAGAATCGTTGAACATGTTTACTTTTTAAGAAGTATTCTTCGTCTGATTTAAGAGCTTTTGACAAATCTTTTTTACCTAATAAATATTCATCCATTACAGTGATTATCAATATTAGCTTTTTATTAGCAATGTTCAGAAAACTGTTGATGACAAACGAAAAATGTTAATTGAGACAAATCAAATTTATATTCTTTTAAAGATCATTAATATTCGACGACTTTGAACCATTCTCTGTTGAAGATAATCAGATTCAATTTCTGTTTTCCGGTTTAACTTCTGATGACATAATTATTACTTCAGGAACTACCACTACTTTGTGAATACCTTCTTTGCTAGTCGAGCTGTCATTATCATCTAGAGCTGTTTTTTCTGTTCCTATTCTCTCACTAATCATATTAATTATTCATGTTCATCTAGTAAACAAACGAAAGCATGTATATGTTGATGTACATAAATTACATAAGTAATTAGAATATGATAGAAAACCATAGGTAAATAATTGATTTAAAGCCAAATATATAGATTGGTAGTTGTTTATAGTCAGTAGAAAATAAAAACATCAGTAGTTTTTGATACGGTTTTTTTTAAAAATTATGGAAACGAATGTATTTCAGGTGAAAAATGTTGATTGAAATAATAAATAGCGCTGTATCAAAAAAAGCAGAAAATTCTTGAAAAAACTTCAAAAAGCAGAAGAGGTGGCAGCTCTGGTAGTGACAGTAATACTATAATACCATATATTAAAATTTAAGAAACTTTCTTTCTACACAGTCTGACAGAGGCAAGAATACTATATTTGTCTATGCTATTTAATCACACTTCGACTAATATCATGATATTAAAATTTCTACAGGAGCTGTTTTTCTATCATATGGGACTGTCATACACATATTTTTTAATTAACTTATGAGAGAAACAGGACAGAGAGCTGCAGATTTCACTGTTCAAAAGCAGAGACGAAGATACATTGAATTGCATATTATATGTTCGCCTAGACATTATTAGGGGTTTCTTCAATCAACTTTCTAAGCATTGCAAAAAATAATTTTCTGTTACTTCACAGAAATTGTTAGAAAAGTCACTTAGAGCTGTAATTAAAATATCTATAACTCAGAAATGATTAATTCTAAACATGTGAATCTTGTGCAGTGTCTTAGACCTTTCATTGACGGGTTGAACTCATGCCTGGCAATTGAGAGTCTGCTATAAAGACCTTATGGAATAGATTTGTTTGTAAAAATGTCGATTGAAAGTGTTTAAAAGATCATATCAACAAACTTATATAGGATTTGATGCAGTTTCATTTTCTCTTTCGAACGATGGAAACTACAGATATCTGCCTTGTTTCCATCAAAAGCTACTCAAAATATATCCACTAAATAGACATTCGTATAATCGTCCTATATGATAGAAAAACAGATCTTATCGAAAGTTTATTATTATGATATTAGTTTAAGTATGATTAAATATCATAGAAAAATAGAGTATTCTTGTCTCTATCAGACTGTATAGAAAGAGAGTTTCTTAAAGCATAATATATGGTATCAAAATGTTGCTGCTACTATTTCTGGATATCCCTAAATAATTCTCAAATTTCTGTGTTTTTTATGTGAATATTCTTCATGATAAAAAATTGGTATTTTAATTAAAAATCTATTCCGCCTTTAACAATCTCAATTTTAACATTGATCTATAAAATTTAAGTTGTTCTACAAGAAGATTTTTAAAATGAAGCTCAGAGAATTGATACTTTTCATTAAGAAAATCAATAAAAAAGGACGAAAGAATGCACTTGGTAAATCTCTGAAACGAATAATTACACATACATGTAAAATTAAACAAAGTTCTTTTCTGTTTTCCAGTCATTGCCTGGAAAT